CAAGGTAGACTTTTCCAGATTTTGACACCATGTCTTGAAAAAGACTAACGTGGTACTTTGTTTGTTTAATTTTGATTGAATGTTTAACATAGTAATCATCTCTTGTAGGCGATTGTGTACTATGAGAAGAAATACAAGATTGGGCAGTAAATAAATGAGATATGTCAGTAGGTGTTAAGCTGTTAGATATGTCATGCACTGCATGTAGAATAGCAATGGTCATTTAAAGTAGAGTAGATATGAAGGAAGAAAGTTAGAGGACACGAATTTGGTACTGCATAAGAATTGTGGTCACCGTAGAACATGAGGTGGACATGATATTTGAAAGACCATTCCTTACTGACGCAAGCACCTTACATTAATTAATTTTATGTTTTTTAAGTAACACAGTATAATATCCTATTTAACCTTTCTAAAAAGCCTTAAGAACATCAGTCTCATATTCTCCTTGTCATAACAGTGCATTATAAAACAGAGTAAAAAGAAAAAGGGAAGTAGCAGGTATTAAAACCAGTCCCTTTGGCTCCGAAAGTTACCCGTTACTGCATATATGAGAAAAATAGAAATGGTCAAGTACATTCATTAATTTATTCATTCATTCACAGACGATAGCATAAAGTGTTACTATCTATAAGTCAGTAAGCTCAAAAATAAATAGATAAGTAACAAAACTAATTACAAACCTTTGATTGTGGGAGATTGTTTGAAATTAAAGCATAATTGCCTAGAAATCATTGGAAATTTTCACTTTAGATTTATAAACTGTAATAACGATTGAACTATAATCTTTTCCCAGTTTACGTTTAGTCTGAGTTTTCTATGTACCATTAGGCAGTTAGTAGTTACTGTGTAACCTATGCCTAGGTGCACACTGACCCCTTAAGAATTTATCTCCTCCTCATTTCTTATCCTCTGTAATCTCTATATAAGCAACCTAGAGTTAACACTCTAAGAGTGTCTTGTCTCTTATCTAATCTCCAAGCAAGCAAGACTTCTTCTTGTTATTCATCCACTGGCCATGGAAATTCCCACGAAAAACACCTAAGGGCTGTCAATCAAAAGAGCAGTTTTTATTTCCGGTTGAAACAAAGCACTGTCATTTCTCTGCCAATATCTTATCTTTTGCAATGTTTCTTTCTTTCTGATAAAGATCACAATATGAACCAAAAATCAAAATTTTATGAAAATGTTTCATCTGAAGGTATTTCATTAACCTTATGGGAAGTTGTGTCTTAAAATAATTTATCAGAGTAGTGAGGCAAAAAGCATATGGCTTGGCACACGCTACTGGTGTACACGAGCGTAACACCGTGCCTTATGCACGATTCGTGCTCAAGAAAAGGCACGGTTTTTGTGCCAAAGCACGGGAAAAAAACATGCAAAGCCACAGATTAAGCACACTTAAGGCACAGTTAAGGCACGTTTTAAATATTGCTAAGGCACATTTTAGGCACAGTTTTGGCACAAATATTCCATGGTGGGCACTTTCTTGAAAATCTTTGTAACCCGACGTGGAAAAAAGAACAAACTTGGTATGAATTATAAAAATAATTCGGATCAAACACGATACAGTTAGAGGTATAGAAAGTGAAAGTTTTGAGCAGCGGCGAAAGTTGGGAAAATTAAAGTATTCTTTGACAGTCCGTGTTTACTCTAAGGATAAAGTGGAAATTCACATGCGATATATGGTCTGAACCTTTTAGATTACCATGCAATTTTATAGAGCTTTCTTTTGTTTCTGAAGGAAATCGTGAAAGAAAGTTGAAGCCATAATAACAAAAGCAAAGCTTAAGAAGTAAGGCGCAAAAATAGCCAATAAAAGTAGTAGAAAATACTTTTTGCGATCGCAGTAAAATTGGCCTGAATTTGCATAATAACATGAAAAGTGGTAATTTGAAACCTTCATGCCAACGCGTGTTGTTTTTTTAATGAAAAATGCAGCTGCTTTTTAAAAATATTTCTCTAACTTAAAAGGTAGAGTTTACACTTAGTAGTAAAAGAATTCAAGCTGCTTGTTTGTTTTTGTTTTCTGGCTCTGTTAACAAATTAAGCTTTGATCTTATAATAATCAATGAGATGTGCATGTGACAATTTTGCTTCAAAACTCATTGGTGTGCAATCAATTTTTTTGTTTTCATTTTATAAGTCATATCACGAGTAAATTCTTTTTTTTGAATGCAAATCTGCCCTCCTGAGAACATCAGTGAAATTCTTAAATCGATGAAATTAAATCAACATGTAATTGAGCTGAGCACTTATTTAATTAAATATGCTAACCTGTTTAAGATTCCAGTTTGTTGTTTGTCGGGGTTTTCCCTGCTGTCTCTAACCATATTCTGAGTCATGCTATTTCTTATTAGGGGATAAAAAGGTTGTCAGACCGTGTTTCTAGACTTCGCAAACCTTAAAACTGACATAATTGCTGTGGGCACTTTTCTTTCGCTGTGGAGCTCCATAGGCTGGACACGATTTTCCAAGTGACTCAATATTTTGGCCCAACTTGTACACTGAGATTAGGCACAGTCTGGGCACGACTTAGGCACAAGTAAGGTATGCTTTTCAAAACTAAAATGCACACTTTATCCACATCTTATGCACATTTTAGGCACAAAATCTTTGTGCCAAAGCACACTCTAGAATCCAATTTTTGGTCCAAGCACGGTTTACGAATTTTTATGTTAAAAAGTGCTTTCTAACCTTAGATATTTGATCTTAGCGTAAAAATGGGTTTCCCGAAGTCTTAACAGTTAGTCTATAAGGAAGGTATAACTTGTGAGCATTCCAAAAATTTTTTTTTCTCCTCTTAACAACAAAAGAAAGTCAATCAAAACCAATCTTTTAAATTGACATTCGCACTGCACAGAGATCGGATGTAGACAAAACATCTTTCTAAAAATGCCCTAAACTTTAACTTTAACTTTGTAACTTTATTTGATTTTACCACAAAAATAATACAAATGACGATAAAACAAGACAATTACACAAAAGCAAATGAAAGTGGCGTGGAAGCCCAAAAAGAAACATGATGAGGCTTATAGACATTGGGTTCCTTCAGTGTAAAAATAAAGTTAACGGTAACAGTAAGGCCAGGATCGAAAGTAAAATACAATGAAGGTAAGTATAAATTAACTAATTACATAGACTGACTTGACAAAATATAAAGTATGGTACATGTAACAATAAGTATAAAAATAATATCTTACATGTGAAGAAAGATAACTATTTACTACAAGATTTATAACTAATAATTCATATATAATTTTTTCTTCAATTTCGTTTTGAATAAGTGGAGAGAATTAGATTCTTTAATATCATTTTCTATAGAGTTATAATAAGTAGGTCCTTGGAAACTGACAGAAAATTTACAAAGGTGTTTTCTACAAAAAGGAAGGTAAAAATTGTTCGAGTATCTAGTGGCATACTCCATAGCTATGGACTTGTTTGTTTAAAGAAAAATAATTGTTGAACATTGAAGGCAAAAGAGAATGGTTAAGAGCAGGGCTGTCATTAAGAGCTGGGGGCCGGGGATTTCCCCTGGTCACTATGAGTGTGACCCCCGGCTACTTTTATTGGAAAATAGAAGAAAATTAGAACCAAAAGAAACTCCTAGGTGTTTGATTCGCCGCCTACTTGTTGTATTTACCCGGCCACTCGAAATCTTAACGACAACCCTGTAAGAGAAAACATAAGTTTACCCAATTCTAGTTGTCTAATATCGGAAAGTTTTAGTAGCTCTAATTCTTTGAAAATAGGGTCTGAATGAGAATCAAAAGTTGATTTAGAAATAATTCTGATAACTCGCTTTTGCAAAGAGACAAGACAGCGAAGATTGGTTTTGTACGTAGATCCCCAGACAATAATACAATAATGAAGATAAGGATAAACTAAATAATAATAAAGAGTTTTTAGACACGGTTTAGGTAGAAAAAATCTTGCTCTATTAATGCCACCTATTGATTTCGAGATTTTACGAGCTACTTGAGAAATGTGCGGTTTCCAAGACAGATGTTCATCAAGGACTACACCGAGGAAGACCGTTTCCTTAACTGAGACAAGACGGCGAAGATTGGTTTTGTACGTAGATCCCCAGACAATAATACAATAATGAAGATAAGGATAAACTAAACAATAATAAAGAGTTTTTAGACTGGGTTTAGGTAGAAAAAATCTTGCTCTATTAATGACTCCTATTGATTTCGAGATTTTACAAGCTACTTGAGAAATGTGCGGTTTCCAAGACAGATGTTCATTGAGGACTACACCGAGGAAGACCGTTTCCTTAACCTGTTCGATTCTCTGTTAATTTATGCATATTTGCATTGGAAAATGATGCCTTTTCTGTCTAGGCTTAAATAACATAAAGTTTGTTTACATCAGGTTTAAGGAGAGTTTGTTTGCCTTAAACTAAGTGGATAATTTATTAAGTTCGGAATTGAGTGAGGCTGCCAGGTAGACAGGATCTTTGTGGGACATAAATAAATTAGTATCATATGCGAATAAAATCTGCTCGACAAGCTTTTTGTCGGGGATGTTCAAGCGAAAGTGTAAAATTTGCGGAAGATTTATGTTGTTTTGCCATTATGTTGCCATTATGTTCAGTTAGTACTCATAAGTCACTGACCTCTCTGGAGAAATTTTTCCAAAGGACTGTTAATGTAATGTGAGCTGTTAAAAAATGGTCCCATTTTGAGCCATATTTTTCATATTTTAATTTTATTTTGGTCTTACAACCTGAAAAAAAATATTCAATGAAAAGTTGTTTATAAACTGTAACTTCTTGCCAAATATCGATGCAATCTGAGTTTTGATAAGTTCATAAGAGCCAAATGATGTGAGATTTTTAGCAGTGTACACCAGTAGCGTGCATGCACCAGACCATATATCTCCTCTTAAAAATAGTGCATTCTGCTACATCCTTTAAGGTCTTTTATTCAATGCTCTTGCCAACTTTGCATTTTTATAAAATAAATACTTGAACCTATGCTAATATTCATGTTTTGTTTTGCTTAACTTGTTGTTCATATCAAGTTCTACCAATCATTAAAGATGCACAGGGGCAACATGGACTTCGACATGGAGACTATCAAAGATACAGGTATAGCAAGCTTTTAATTTCATATCATATAGGTTGGGTACAACTTGCATGGCATAAATTACATATGGATTTTATGGAGTGGCCATTTGTTACATTACAACAACAACAACATCAACAACAACAACAATATAAACTTTATTTTCACTTGAATTTTGGAGTAGCTAGTGAGCTAACACATTGTATTATTGGATGTTATTAGTTCACTTTCTTGCACTTTTGACACTAAAAATACCCATTTTTCGATAGACTGTGAGCAGTCTTTCTTTTGCTCAAAAGTTTGTGAGCCAGCACAATATGTGAGTATGTGAGCCACGAGCAGCGAGTTGTGAAGGGCACCAGTAGATAGGCCGGTCTATGAAGTGATGATGTGCATCTGCCATCAGTAGCTCATCAACATCAGTTGGAGACCTGGCCCATGCTTTAAATGAATTTGACCCTTCACAGGATTTTGAGAAGTAAGGTAATTTCATGGGCACGTATGTCATGACACGGCATGCAATGTCATGGATATGTGCATATTTATTGAGTAAAACAAAAAGTATCACTGTTCCTGCATAGTACCTTTGTTTGTTACACCAAAGCCTTTGTTTTAAGATGTTCGCTATTTATGTCACAGTAAAATTAGTGTGCGAAATGACATGTGTGGAGTAGCACACATGCTACACTAGTACAAAAGTCTCAACCCACAGTTAAATAGCATGTATGGAAAAAATGAGACGGTGTTCGAAAGATAAAAAACTATTTTCAAATGGCATATGAAAACTTTCAAATGAAAAACTTTGTGTGTTTGACCTGAAAAAGCAGAGGTAAAAAATAGCAATAATAGTCACTGATGTTTATTTTAATGCAAATCATACTCACTTTCTGTGTAAAATTTAACTGCGGTCTACAATTTTTAATTCAAAATTTGAGAAATGAAAATCCATGTAACAGAAAAGATTCTTCTTAGTTCTGAAGAAATTGACTCTATGCACTGCATAACCTACGCATAAGAAAGAAAGGAAAGAAAACCTCTGTTGTTCAAGCAAACTCTAAGGTTACGTTTCAAGTGTTTGGCCTATCAATACTTATGCAATATTGGATACGGTTAATTAGCCGTCTGCTTTTATGCCAAAAAATC